ACTTTCTTTGTAGGCTGCAATATGCTTTTTATAAAAGACTGACCACAGCCTTCGGCAATGAGCCCCACAAAAACATGACCTGGCCAAGGTGAAACCGTCATTCTTACCTTCCCGAGGTTTTCTTGTTCAAGGATCATTCGCGTATACTGTTCTCTAAAGGAAATATAAAATAGATTTGTTACGTTTTGATTTGGTTCTCTGTAATAGGATAGATTGCTGATGTAGCGTGGAAAATTAAGAATGTGTTGGGAGGTTCATAAATAAGAAGAGGAAGACTGAAGAAACCTTTTTGTCACTGGACAACATGTCCCTTGACATCAAGGGCACGAGGTTTTCAACTCTCCCAGTTGTGCAGTTGGGAAAAGTGACATTCGATGAGGTCTCTTTGAAGCAGATCGCTGCCCCTTCCAGCTTGGAGACAACAGCAAGATCATTTAGGTGAGAAATACTTGATCTCTTTTAATAATGCATTTATCCTGGTGATATTCTGAGGTTAGCCAGCGGCCTCATTTGTACAAGCGTCAGAGTTTACAAACCCACGGCCCTTAATTGCTGCGAAGGCAGTGTTAGAATGAGTGGGAAAATACAGGAATGAAGAGGAATAGTATTTCATCCTGGGTTCGACAAATCCAGTGACTACAATGGAACCACCTTGCGCTCCTCGCTTTCAGAAAACAGCCGTTGCATTTAGGGGCCTAAATATAGGCTTAGAAGCGTAACTGTTGACATTCATTATTAAAAATCTTGGCTGTACACCTTTGTCTGTAACAAGTGGCTGGATCGCTTTCTGACATATGCAAACTCGATACATGAAACCTGACAATATAATATGCAAACCACAACAGCACAATTCAGATACGTTACTATGTGCTTATTTTAATTCTTTTTGAAATGTCACTGATTCACTTGGGGAAAAAAAAAAAAAAACACAACGTCCATGATTTTGCAGTGTGTGTAACAGGTATACTTTGAGGTTGAGAGTTTGCTGGCAGAATATAAAACAACCTGGCTCACCTAAAGAACTTTCCAAATTGCTCAGGGCAGAATTTTGCAGAGAGAAATCCTTATTTCCAGAAACAAACGCCAGCCTTCAGGACATCAGAGTGTAAAGGTTTGCCAGAGCGTGGCGAGTAGCCGCGTAGAACCAAGGCATCACTTTTCTTACGTTCTTTCTGTTCCACCAAGAACACCAGGATTTCAGCCGGGGCTCTTGGACTGCTGAGGACCGGGTCCTGCCTGTGTCCTCCTTGCAGGAGCTGGGCGAGGAACGGAGTCGGATCCTTCTGCGTGATCTCTCCGTCTTGGACAATTGTGGCCAGAACAAACCAGAGCCGCCTTGAGGCCGCTCCAAGCGCTCTGCTGCACAGCTGAGCCCCATCAATCCTCACCAGATCCGAGAGACAGAAAACCACGCTCGCTCTTTTTGTTTCCACTGGCCCACTGCACATGTTCACACACATTTGGCCTCAAGAACATACTTCTTTTTTTAAGTAGTTTTCAAAGTAATCATCAGAAGATTAGATGTCTTCCCCAGTAAGTTTTTCTTTACTATTTATAATGATGACTGGAAAGAATGCAACTTAATAACTTCATTAAAAACCCCATAACTTTCTATTTTTAGAGAAGCAAATTAACTTATCACATTCCTAAAAAGTGACTCAACGGAACAGGGAGTTTATATTCAATAAAGAGGGTCAGAATTAAGACATTTTTTGTTCAATACGTTGTTCGGAAAGTGCTGTTCTATTTATGGTTCGTTTTTATTCCGTTTACATTCCAGTGTCTGCTGAAAAATACATTCACATTCTAAAAAGATATCTAGAAAAAAGACTGTATCGTCTCATTTTCTATTTTCCAGAGTTCTCTGTATTGAACTTAGTTGTAATCCATTTAAGGTCTTGTGACCTCTTGCACAAGGTCAAAAATGTGTGTAGTCACTGTGAGGGGATAATTTCCCTCACTTCTGTGCCCGCAGTTAGCAAGTGAAACAGGGACAGTGGAGAGAGCACTAACGCTCCATTCGCATTCTTTTCGCCATACCTGGAATTACATCACTGGATTCCTGCTTAATTCCAGCCTTTGGCTTCGATGGCTTGTCCGTGTGAATCCTCACCTCGTGGATATTCATTTCACAAGCATTCGAGTTGAAGCATTTTTCGCTCAGCATCTGGGGATAAACTCGGACCCTCCCCTTCCCTGCGAGGCCATAAAAGGACGGTGCCTGCTGGTTGACCAGCATTTCCTCTCAGCTGCTTGGCTGAGCTCTGTAGCTTTTCGTACTAAGGAGTATTCACGTCATCAGGAAGATTTTTCTCACAGCCACTTCTCTTTTCAGCCTTCTGCTTCATTTTGCTGTTTAATCGTCTTTCATTAGACAGATCTTTTATTTCCTACAGCCTTCCATTATTTGGTGAGATGGCATAAGGGACTTCTTAGCCTCTGCTCACATTCTATCTCCTCATCCTTTCCTTCTCCCACCCTAACATTAGTAGGTTTGCTTCTTCTCTTACTCTTATTTTTCCTACAATGTTTACTACGTAGGGTTTAAACATTTTCATGCCTCGGATCTTTGCCTCAGGTCTCTCTGACGGCTATTAACCTAGCCCTTGCCTTTCTAGAGATCTCTGCCTCGTGTTCTACTACAGCTGAAGATGTGGCTCCACTGGTACCAGTGAGTTGGGAAACTTCTAGTTCATGAAGGATCTGATGGAGGAAGACCTCATCTCCCAGTATCTCCTGAGGGAATCCCTGGAGATTTCTCACTCAGTTTGACACATCGCTATCCCTGTCGACAGCCCCATCTCAGAGCCCATAAAACCTTAGTGCTCAACTACAGCTTCTTTCACTCCACGAGTGGAGAAATTGCCTCCAGTGACAGTGGATGACACCAGATTCCATGCAGCGTTATAGTGCAGAACAATAATCATTCTACCTCCACTAAGAACTACAAATAGGAGCAAGCCAAAATCCATTTACGGACATGCAATCCTCCATTCCTGTGCCAGTGATGGCGATAGCTGTTATACTTGAAAGAAGAGTAGAAGATTTGCAACAAATGGCCAGAACACGAGGGCAGTTCTTGGAGAGGTGGTAGACCTTCTACTCCTGCACGTTGGTCAGGGGGAAACTCAGCGGAGGCGTTACGTCTGGCAGAGCCAGGCTTCCTGCAGGAGCTTGTGCCAACAGGGGCTGCAAGTTCCAGCTGCTATCAAGGGCCCTCAGTCTCCAGCAGGAAGGGAAAATCTTTTGGTATGTCTGAGAGAACTTGTAGGTTTACAGCAGTATATGCTGGAATTTGACCTGCTTATTTTTAGATTCTTATAGCGTTTCTAAATTTATCAGGTGAACTCCTCCAGTTCAAATGCCAGTGAGAAAATTCCTAACTTCAACCTTAGGTTATGAATATCCTTCAAGTTAACGCACAGGAAACAAGTACAAACACTTACCGAATCGCCTTTCGTCTCTCCTGTGGGTCTGGGGAGACGCATGCCTTCATTTCTTCTTTCGCACGCTGCAGCTGTATTTCTAGATTCTATGAGGAAATACAGAATTTAAAGAAACCCAACCACATAATGGCTATTTCATTTCACAACTAACAGTTTGGTCCCTCTTGTGATCTTACCCTTTTCATGCAGTTAATGTAGTGGTAGTTGCTTTCTTCCTGAAAGCACTCCTCAAGAAGTCCTTTCACTTCCTGTAATACAAGAATAAGATTTCAAAAAACTTCGTAACTCCAAAGTCCACAGATGTCCTGTGTTGCTGGATAAACCATGTCACTCCGCTGTAGCAATGGGCATGATACTGAATTGATAATTTCTTAAATGTTTCTATAATTAGGGTTTTTTAGATTTGCAGTTTCCGTCGCAGAGGCACTAAATGGTTGTTAATAGGTGTTCATTAAGGTGACTGACTTCTAACAGGAGCTTCCCAAGTGCTCCCAAGACTCTTGCTCCCAAGCACATCTTAAGTGCTGGATACGGTTGTGAAAAAGCATTTCCTGGAACACATCTGCAAAACACGCGTTAGAAGCTACAGAAGACATGCTGATAGTATTAACATGTTAATTGGCAATCCATAATTACACTGAGGAGCATGGAGATAGCGAGTTGGTCCCATTTCTAAATGGTCCACACTTAAAGAACCCTGGTAATGCAGACGGACTTGATGTGCTCCAGGTCGCAGGGCAGTAGTCGGCTCCAAAGCTCCGTCACCGTGTGATTTTCAGACCATCAGCTGTAAAACTGAATTCTACCGCTGAGATGCAAGAGTTTGCTGATGCTCAAGTCCACCTTAATCAGTGGATGTGATTGTCATGGTGCATTAGAAAATGCCTAAGACTTGTCCTCCAAGAAAAAACATTACTGCAGCTATAAAATGGTTCTTAGGGAATGCCTGCTTCATCATAAGTTCATCTGTGGATTCTTTTCTTTTGCTTGGATTTAGGCACACAGTGCAGGAAGAATTATCTAGGTGTCCGCCCACACTTCAAACGTGTGCCTTTTTTATTTCAAAATGCCTTCCTTACGTGGGCAAAGCCTTGAAAAATCAAGTCCAGATAAAATTCACAAGAGGTGACCTAGTGAGAAAAAGCGGATTCATACGAAGGTGTTAACACTGTCGCCACCTTAAAGGATTGGTTGATAGTTCAAATAATACCTGAGGCTACATCGACACAAGCTTCTTGTACTTCAGAACTATATGGTTGTACTTAAAAAACCCCAGTTGTATGCAGGAATACAAGACAGTTCCATTCAACCAAGCATCTCTGCCATCCATTTCAGTGCTTTAATTATCCATCGGAATGGTTGCTCATTTAATGAATCTGCTAAAGGTGTATCAAGATTTGTGTTGATAAATTAATCCTTATTTCACGGCCAAATGCTTTCCTAGGAGATACTCTCTAGGTCAGTAGGATTTCTTTTACAATATCCTCTCTAATCAAAGCTGGATGTCGGCAGATGGACTGAGGTACTGCCGAGTTCATCTGTTGCTATTCAGAACGGGAGACACGCGCGGCTGCTCCTCAGCAGCTTCGGCCGTGATTTGCATGATTGTGCATCACCACTGACTCATTTCCACCTGAAGTGGATTTGTGCTTCCCATACCCAGAGGGAAGGCAGGGAAAATTAGCAAATAACACGTCACACAGCATTTATCAATACATACAAAGAAGCCACTGTCTTACCTGTTCCAGCGCAGAGCGATTGCTCTCTAACCCCGCCGCACAACTGTTGTACTGGATTTTTTTCTCATCACAGTCTTGAGTTAATTCCTTATGAAGAAAGGGCAAAAGGGAACATAAATGAAATTCTGACTGACACAGGACATTGAGGCAGGCTGCATCCTTGAGGGTCTCACACATCAGCCTCAGCTACGGGCACACTCACTGACACCAACGCAAACCCAGGGGGCACACAGGGATTATTACACACGGGGAAGCCTTCACACTCGTACCGGAGGATCAGCTGTATACCCAGCACACACAGTTCCTCTCTACAGCCACATCCAGAGCTTTAATGAGGTCAGTTAATTGTTTGCGAGAAGAAAGGGAAAAGAGTTACACAAATAGCGATTAAGAAAGGATTCATAGGCTTTTTTCATATTGCCACCTGTGAAAAGTCAGCTCCCTAGCTGTACACAACAAATGCCTGAGCCGGATTTCATTTGCTGACACTTTAAATAGAACCATTAAGAGTCAGTTTTCTAGAAATTTGGTCGGTAGACACACAGTACATACAGCGCTATTTGCTCCTAGGGCAGCGAGCCAGCTTACGACAGCTGTGGACCCAAATGAGTTTTTCAGTTCTCTACAAAATTTTGAAAACAAACGGATAAATCTGTCATTCCTACAGACTAACATAGGATGTAGATCCATCTATTCAACTATTTGGATGAGATACGATTTGCAATCCAGTTAAAAAGGAGAGCGTTCATTGAGATCATTAGTGCTGAGATAGAGAAAAAGCTCTGAAACCAATTTTGAAAACTAACTTAGCTCTGGTTTTGAACCATCATTTTTCAAATTTTCCCTGGTGTCGTATTTTTTTAATTGCTAAGAAGGACAAAACTTTCAGCTTGATTTTGTGCCTTCACTGCCGGCTTTTATGAATTCCAGTCTTTAAAATGTTGCCTGTTGGAAACGATTCCTCCTGCCAGCTCCAGCTTTCCTAGTGAGCTGATTGTACCCCCGTAAAGGGCCGCAGAGATCTGGAAATCAGACTTATTTGTGATTCTGACTTCATTTACCCAGAACGAGAGCAGTGCTTCTACTAACCTGGCACTTTTGACGCAACTGTCTCAGTTCTTTGATAACGGGAGCTAGGCTCGCCTTCTTCTCCGCCACCATGGCGTTCAGTTTTTTTACCTGAGGGACAAAATAATATACATTAAAAATAGGATACTAATAGTGTATTTATAGAATTTGGAATGTGGTGGACTGAGAGCAAGGAAGAAATCTTTAAGAAAAGAAACAAAAACCCAAACACCTGCATAGTTTAAATAAAGTTTGAAAATATCAATGCGGAGTCACTTTAAAATATTTATACTGAAAATTCAGATTTGATCCAGCTTTATATTTGAGAGTCATTCTGTTTTGATGATAGTACTTTATTTTAAAAGTGCCCTAATGATTTCAAAGAATGCTATTTTGCTTTTTGCTCTGGTATAATATTTTCTAATTAGAAACTCAAGTTCTGTCTTGCTTCTATGGCTATGTGGGAAGTTAAATTAAAACATGACAGATCTAAGGGCAACTGAAAATTAGGCTATAGAGGAAAAGCCAAGCTATTTAGCTCTTCAGGCATATTAAGTGTTTTTTTAACAAATTCTTAACTCCAGTGATTTACAAACAAAAAGATTCCATGAAAGATTCAAACTATTCTTTCTCTTTCAACTAATGCTAAAGAACAAATAGGAAACCACTTCTGAAATCACAAAAGAGTACATTATTGAAGATGACAAGACTTGATATCTCTAATAAAGGGCAGGTAAGTAGGATGCTTTTGTAGGATTTATTTTTTTATAATTCTAAATTCTTCTTCCTACATTACAAGAAATCACATTTCAGTACACTTTTCCATGATTACCTTTGCAGATATACACTGTTGGAAATATTTTATAGATATAAACATAGACTAGAAGAAAATTAAGAACCCAAACAAAAATATTAAACTTGGTTTTATGTGCTGAAGAACCAGATCTTCAACAGTTTAAAGCAAAAAAATCACCATATCGGACATGTTATCCAGTGTCTGGCCTTTCATTTCATCCATTTCACTCTTCACTGCAGATACTCGTTCCAGCTCTTCCTGGGTGTAACTATAGCCAGAAATACCTTTCTTGTCTTCAATAGCTTGCTGCAGACACAAAAAAGAAATGCCATGTGAGCCCTGTCATCAAGTACCGGCAAATTCCTTCACAGAGCCACAATACTGTAAGAAAGCAGAAAAGGTAAGTCCTGTAAAAAAATTATTTGAAAAGTGATTCATAATCGAGCAGCCAGAAAAGCTAAATTTTTATTTAGTGTCCGTACAGTAGGATAATACCTGTAAATACACTATTTGGCCATCCAGGGCCCACTGAAATTACCAGAAAGTTTCCACAAAGTAAACTGGGCTTCAGGTCACGCTCTGCGGAAGCTCAGTGAATAAAATCCAGATGCTTAATTGGAAGATGTAGCCACTTATTTTTTAAACCAACTGTCAAGTAAAACTAAATAAGGATTGTATTCATTATAGCAATACTAACACCATCTTAGCAAACTCTAGCATTACATAAACTTTAAATTTAATTATCTATTGATGTAACGGCCTTAAGCAATGCTTGCTCATTAAGTATGTAAGGAGGGTATTTTCTGAAATCTGAAAGCTAAGTCTCAATTTGGAAATCAGCAACTTGCTAAAAAGGAAAACATGCCTTCTTCAAAGTGCCGTATATCTATGAACTCCAAGTCCGTTATCCTCAAAAACCTTTTACAATCATATGGTTTAAGAAATGGTTCGTCTCTACCAATAGCTCCTGCCACCACGATGGGAGCATTTTGTAGACTTTAATAACAACGTGCAGTTTGACAGGGCATTATGCCCAGGGCTAGAAAAAGTCTGTTTGATTGTGCAGGGAAAAAGTGTGTGCTAGGCAGCTGGTGGTAAAACCCTGATGAAGTCAGAGCTCTGTAGTTTAACCAGGAGGCAGTTTAGAAAAGGTCAGACATGAATGGGCACATCCTACTGACTGCATGTAGCCACTTCATAGAAGAACTTCTGGTGCTTTGTCTCTGCTGTGATTTTCCTGAGAGATGGCAGCGTACGTTGGTTACCCTGCTGTAAATATTCCTTCAAGCTGAGTAGCAATCCTGAGAAAAAAGCTCTGATCCTGCTGCCCAGGTGCTTCTTTCTACCCCAGTAGCAGTTCTGGTTTTGTATTTAATTAAACAACAAACACCCTAATGAAATAGCACGACACCATCCACTGCACCCATGAGAGTCTCTCTGCAAAGTCCATGTATTTTCA